AAAAAAAAAAAAAAAAAAAATTCCACTGTGACTCAGTTTCTTACCTTTCAATTTATTGCCTTGGAAAACATATAAACAAAGTCAATGTTATGTAAAGGAAAGAACAATTGAGTGAGAATTGGGAGAATTTGTTTCTAGTCCTGATTCTGCCACTAACTAGTTCTGTGACTTTGGATAAATTGCTTAATCTCTCTGGCCCTCCCTTGTTTTTTTCATTTGTAAAATTTCCAGTTCTAATACAAAGACTATGAGACTCAGAATTAATGCCACCATGATAGTCGATACCAGGAAACAGAAAAAGAGGATTTTTTTGTTCTAGAGTGAGATTTTATGTTAAGCCTACTAAGAACATTTAACTCCATCTCCCTGAGCACCAAAGACATTCTTTGAAAGTCTTTTGACAATTCTTTTGAAAGTCAGTCCAGAGAAACCATTGGAGTATTAAGTGGATAGAAACTTATTACTTGACCCCTAGGTGTGGCTATTGTATTTAATAGCAATGGGATGGCCATAGAGATAATATGGTGAGTAGGGAAGACATTTATTTTACCACACAAGCTGTTATTAGAAATTTGGGGCTCAGCTGGGTGTGGCTAAGTAGTTGAGCACTGACCTAAGACCCAAGAGATCGAGGTTCGATTCCCCGATCAGGGCACATACTTGGGTTGTGGGCTCGATCTCCAGTCAGGAGCATGCAGGGGGCAGCTGACCAATGACTCTCTCATCATTGATATTTCTATCTCTCTCTTCCTCTCCCTAAAATCAATAAAGATAATAATTAAAAAAAAAGAAAAGAAATCTGGGACTTGTATGACATGGTAATTACTAAAAATCCCAAATCCTCTAACTATACTAACAACAGGCCAAAATCCTGAGATAATATCAGTAAATATTGAATCCTACAGCTTTGTCTGGGTGTCATAGTATATTTAAAGCCACAACAAAAGAAGTAATATTTTGATTACCTTTGTAAACACAGGAGCTGCAATGATGGGTTTTCCATCCAGTCCTTGCAAATAGTTGGTAGGACTCCGACACTGTCAGAAGGGAATGAACAATAGGTGGATTGTCACTAACATTATCAGATAGGTAAATAGATAGATATAACACACTTACAGAATTTGGTGTATGAAATTAATCTAAAACCAATAGACTGACATTTTCTAAGTCGGTGAATCACAGACTTCGAATTTTATACTGAATTGATTGTTTTCCTTTCTAGATCCTGGTTGCTATAAATATGTGCCTACTGCCTCACAGATGTAATAACCCTAAATCCCTGAAGAGCTTCCATAGAACTCCCAAACCTCCACAAATTGAAAACTACTGGATCAGAACTAAAATGTGACCCCTGTGCATTAATAAATGGCTTAGATAAGTAACTGTTTAAAATTTTTAAAGGTGATTTTAAGTCAATAAACATATCAAGAACATGTTACAAATATGTTTAGATAAGTATGATTTTATATTTTTAGAAGTATATGCATACATATGTTTTCATATATATGCCTAGAAAATGCATAAAACTATCTGCTAGAAACTATTAAAAGAAGATACCTCTGGGGAGTGGGGTCATGGGAGTAGAACTTTGACTAAACTTTTGACTTAGTATACTTCTGTATTTTTCTAATGTTTTCACACTAAGCATGCAGTAGTATCATCATCATCATCAACTTGAAGGATGAGAGTTTTTAATGTATTAAAAAAATAATTTCATGGTTATTCTCTTAAAAAGTAGAATTCTTTACAGCTCCATGAAGCTGAGTGTCCTGGGCCATTGTGAGAACTGTACATGTAATCAGTACCCTAATGCCAATAAAACTGGAATATTAGAGACTAATTTGTAAAGAGTTTCTTTTCTTATGAAGGCTGCCTATTGCCTATGAAGCTAGAAAATATGTTCCCAAAGCAATGGGAACCACTGATATCCTACATCAGATGTACAGATTATCATGATCATGGAAGTGTATTGCCCAAGATCATCATGAAGGTGCCACAGAGAAGAACATGACCATGCCATACAAGATGGTCATGGTCACAATGCCTGCCTGTCACAGTCCATGGCACCTGTGTTTCATTTAGACTTTTGTACCTGTTGGATGGTTGACACACTCGGCCGGGTCACCACATGCTGGGCTTGGGGTACTGCTGAAGGAATGGCTGCAGAAGTAGTGGGAGGAGATGACACCTCATTTGGCTTCTGGATTCTAAGAAATGATTTAAAAATATATAAAACAGGCCTATCAATGCTTGTGAAAACTCTTTCAGCAAAGTTAGTAATGTTATCCCTGCTTATAGTTAGATGCAATACAAATCTTTGGTCGATATTCCACAAACGATTACTGAGGGCTTCTTTGCTACACATTTTGTTAAATGTAAACAGGAAGGTGATAAGATACCATTCCTGTCCTTGAGTTACTTGTTCTCAGCCAAGCTGGGGACTTGTGCACATTCACAACTGGGAATCCAGATAAGTGCTGCGACAGACCACGTGCAGAACGTAATTTTTTGAGATTTGTTGTGTCGTTGCCCTCTGTATTTGCCCTCTCCCTCCCATTTCAAGTAAGAGGCCAGGCTTTGTGAATCTTTGTTTCTGGGACTTTGGAACAGCAGAAATAACCCGAGTCAATGAGCTCTTCAACTTTATACAAATTAAAGAGGTTATTTGAAGGGCAAAAGAGCCAAGAAATGTTCTTGACGAGGTAGCAAAAGGGAGATTATTTTAGTTTTATGGATTTTGCGAGGGGACCTGACAAGAGGGAGAACCTGAGTGCAGAGGGGGTGGTAAGTCCTATGATTAAAGGGTCCCTTGCTAAAGATATCAGTACACAAACATATCAGGAAACAACAAGGGACTGGACTTGAAGGGGCCTTGAAGTCTAGGACATGGACCTTTCTCCAATAACCTGTGGGAGGAGATGACTGATGACAGAATGGGCTTCCCTTTTGTTTAGATGTTACCTCTGTCTGCTTCAGCTTCCTCATCTCTAAAATGGGAAAACAAGTTTTTACCTCATAGGATTTTTGTGAGCGTTATAAATAAGGTAATTCATTCAAGATGTAGAGAGCAGTGTTTAACATTAAACACTATCTATATCCCAAGGATCTTTCACAATCATGGAGGGCAAGGGGACATTCAATAATGGGTGATTAAATATTTTCCTAACCAGGCAAGTTAGGGTCTCAGAAGCAGAATTATGTGTTGATACAGGGGCTACCAGTGTCCCCAAAGCATCCATATTTTTCTTTGATAGTAATAGAACCCCTGATTTCTTTACATAGCTACTCCAAATAAAGAGTGCATCTCCCAATTTTCATTGAAGGTAGGTGTGGCCACATGAATGCTTTCTGATCATTGGATATGAGGGATAGTGATGTATGTGATTTAAGAGATAGGACCTTACAAGGGAACGCAGAACATGCTCTTATTTCTTCCGATTTTAGACTAAGAAGATGAGGCCACACCTTAGAATGAGATGAAACAGAAAGCTGGAAGCAGAATGGAACCCAATGGAATGTGGAGCCATTTTACCAGCTAAATCCATATTTTTATGTAAGTGAGAAATAAATATCCGTCTTACTTAAGTCATTGTTTTGAGTCTCTATTACACATAACTGAAGCTAAATCCTAACTACTACAAGTAGATGTAAAGAAAATAAACAGATGAGATATTTCTTGCTTATTCAAGTGTATATATCAAAATTCACACCCATTAGGCTTGCAATCATGTTTTGAGAGCCCCGAGGAGGGAGTGATGAATGTGCCACAGAGGAGACATTTATTGAGGCCAGGGTTTTTGAAGGCCAGGCAGAGAAGGAGATAGGGCAATCCTAGCAAAGGGAACATCTTGAGGGAAGGGGCGAAATGAACAGGACATTGTGTGAGTGAGCTGGCAGCAGTGTGGGGCTTGAGGTGGGGGCATAGAGGAGGGGGCAGGAAAGCCTGGTTGATACTCTCTCGACTGAATAAGGCTTTGTATCTGTGTTCAGATTAAAAAAAAAAAAAGGTGGTTGTTTGTTTTGTGTTTCATTTCCCCACAGATAATTTTTTAAGTTAGGAAAATGACAGGATCAGAGTTACCTTTTAGAGCATAACTGGTTTTGTTTGGAAACTATAAAAGAGAGAAAGGTTGGAGCGCCTGTAAGGTGACTGGCATAAAGAGGCAGGAACAAAGGAGGAACTGAACTGAAGCCATGAGAATAAGGAAGGGAGTTCAGGGGAGAAATCATTGACTCTGGCTGCGGATTTTCACATCTGCACAAACGCTAAAAGCAACTTACCATTTCAAGGTAGGCACACACAAAGGATTTTGAATAAGACATGATTTCTACCCTTAAGGAGTAATCACCCCCTGTAGGGAGGGCAGAGCACCCAAAACAGTTACCAGCTCTTTAACCCGTCTGCCAAATACCGCAGCTTGTTTCGTGTAGTCTCGAGGAATGGCTATCGTGTCTGTTCCCAGTTTCCAGCCCTGCTCTCCACAGCCTCCTTTGCCTGAAATGCCCTTTCCTCTCTTGTTTGGGAGTGTCCACCTACTGTTCTTTTAAGCTTCAGCTGAAGGCTGCCAGTTCTGTGTCACCCTTCCTGAGCTCTCGTTCTCTCTTCAACCAATAGAGTCCTTTGTGTCAAGTCATTTGCACTTTACTTATTTTAATTTTTTTATATATTTTTTAAAAAGGAATTATTTTTATTTATTTATTTATTTATTATTTATTTATTTATTTGAATATATCTTTATTGATTTCAGAGAGAGAAAAGGAAAGGGAGAGAGACAGAAACATCAATAATGAGAGAGTCATTGATCAGCCACCCCCGGCATGCCCTGGACTGGGGATCGAGCCTGCAACCCAGGCATGTGCCCTTGATCAGGAATTGAACCCTGATTGCCTGGATCCCAGGTTGATGCTCAACCGCTGAGCGACGCCCTGCCAGGCCGTTTACACCTTGTACATAATTATATCACAGCCTATTATACTTTTTACCCTTACTGTCTATATGCTTGATATATACGTCTTGCTATATTTCCTATGTATTTCATTCTACTAGACTGTAAGCAGGAAGGCAGGAAGTATCTGATTTTTCTTAGTACCTACTGCATCTAATGAAGAGTCTGGTGTAGAGTAGATGCTTAGCCAATGCTTGTGGAAAGTAATGAACAGATAGATGTAACTTTGTCCAGTACTCAGTATAACTGTTCAGCAAAAAGGTTATGACTTGCCCAGATCACTCACATATAGAAGTTAGGATCACCAGGTTTTGTGTTCTTGTGAGTACTATTATTTAGTAAAAAAACATAAATTTCTTTGAACCACTGTTCCCCTCCCCACTCTGTATATATAGGTGTGATGATATTTCATTGGTGACATTTCATTTTTAAAATATTGGGAAGCCTGAATTCACAATTACTTTTTACTAATGTGTCAGAAGTGGCCTTTTTATTTTGCACAAATAGTTGCACATTTACTGAGCAAATTTAGAAGAGTCCATTTTTAACTCTAAAGGGAACTTTTAAAAAAACTCACTAGTGAAGCTATTGATGCAGATGGGCCTCATGGTTATTGGAAAATCTCCTATGTGGAAAGAGCATGTTTATTCCTCCTGTACATTTTCCTCTTTTAACTGCTATTAAACAAGAAAGCCCGTGTACCTGTTTCAAAGGCAATAATAAAATAAGATAAAATAAATATTGGCAATATTAAAATTAATATGCTAGGCAAGAGTTAAGCAAAATTAAAATTACCGATTCATCTCTTCCTTGTTAGGGTCCCCTTCTGAGTCAGAAGAAGAAGCCCCTGGAAAATAAAACCAAGACATGAAATTTTTAAGATGATAATTTCTTAAGCTGGTTCTAGGCATTTGAAGACCTATAGAATTTCAGGCCTAGAAAAGAGCTCAGTGTTTCCTACACTAACACCCACTTTTATAGATGAGGAAATAAATGCTAAGTAGTTGGAGGACTTATTCAAGGTCCCATGACCAATAGTGATAGAGTGCAAATTAACTGGTCCAAATTCCAAGTGTTCTTGCATATGAAACACCTGCTGATGTCTTTGGACTAAAAAAACAGTCTTTGCAGACATTAATGTAGTGTCCATAAACTCTCTTGCTCTTGACCTACCCAGATTAAATAAAAGAAGGGATTACATTGGATTCCAAACATTGTAGGTGTAGGTGGATGCTCTTCCGTCCAGTCCTAATATTAACAAGTCACATTTCATCTTAGGAGTGGGGGTGTTCGAAGCTCTGTTGCCACAAATTGAAAAAATCAGCGATCAAATCTCAGCACTGTTAGAGAGCTTTGATCCTGGATTTACTTCCCGGTATAGTAAATTCCGGGAAGATCTAACAGAGCTAAATCTGGAGGCATTTGTTGTGCTCCAACAATTTGAGAGTGAAAACATACAACACACTTCCATTTGTGTGTTAGTCATTACCATCGTCATTATTATTCAATAAATGTCTATCAGGTGCCCACTAGGCACTTGGCACTATATTGGAGATACAGAAGATTGAGCCAGGACCAGCCTCACAATCTAGTTCACAAATGGGCACTTATCCCATAATAATACAATATTTAAGTGCTGAAACCCAGGCATACATAAGGTATTATGGCTGGTTAAAGTGCTAAAGAATGGTTCCCAGAAAAAACCCAGGGGGTGAGATAAATGGAAGCAAAGCCTTATCATAGATCTGTAAGGAATATAAATGGATTTATTCTCTAAAAGTAGTCGTTTTAAATATGGTGCTGACGTAAATGCCTTTCCAAGGCTCCCAAATGGTTTCCCATCTTCTACCCTTAAATCCCTGTGGTATATTCTCACCCATTTACCTTCTATGTAAATCTCAGCAGACGTCGAATCTGTCCCATAGATGTTAGAAGCAAAGCAGGAATAGCGTCCTGTGTCCTCTTCGAAGGCTTCAGCAATGGTCAGTGAGTGCAGATTTCCTGCCTGGACAATGTGGATGTCTGGGGAATTTTCGAGCTCCTTGCCTTCACAGTACCACCTGCGAGGAAGGGAGCATGGGACATGACTGAAATGTGAGCATTAATAACATAGATGGCTCCAGACAGTCCCTAAGAAGAAAACTGTGACAAACTTAGAGTGAGAACATTAAACAATCCACTACTGTGGCATAATTTAATTGTAACAATGAGAAGACCCGGCAGTATTCAAATCACATTGAACCTTTACTCAGGAAATTAGAAAGTGGCTTCTATGAAGAATGATACAACCGGGAGAAGATGGATGAGAAAACATGTACAGCCAACCAGGAAGAGCAGGGCCTTTGATGTCAAACTTGGCTTCTCCTAAAAAGACTTACAGTTTTCTATAGTTTGCATTAAGTAATTACTAGTTTAGCTTATTTGGACAGGAATCTAAGGAATATTAAAGGCCTATGAAGTTGAGTGTGTTCATTCCCCACTGCAAAATTTCATCTGACCTCGCTAACCACTACAAAATTTCATCTGACTTCGCTAAATAAAAATTATCTTGTTAACTACTTGAATCATCAAAGTAAAGAGAATGGGGCCATTTTCACCCAGCAGGGGCCCAACTCTGGCAAGTAACCTAAGTATATTTCTATAGGTTATAGTATTTTATTTTATTTTGATTATTTTGATTAATCCTCTCCCAAGGATATTTCTTCCATTGATTTTTAGAGAGAGTGGAAGGGAGGGAGGGGGAGAGAGAGAGAAAGAGAGAAACACCAATGTGAGAGAGACACTTTGATTGGTTGCCTCTCGCGTGAACTCCAGCCAGGGCCGGGGATCAAACCTGCAACCCAGCTACATGCCCTTGACCTGGGATCGAATCCATGGCCCTTTGGTGCACTGGCCGATGCTCTAACCGCTGAGCCACTGGCCAGAGCACGGTATTCTGTTTTAATTCTGTCTACTTAAAGTTAGAAATTTTTATTATAACAGTTTTTTTGGCCAGAAGTTTACACAGAATAGTACATAAAATAAAGTTTAAAATGTGGAGGTGCAGAATAAGGGGGAAAGACACTACCATTTCTCATGTAACAGATTGGCAAAAGTTGAAGTCTGAGCACTCTCATACACTGTTAGTAGGAATGTAAAATGGTACAACTCCTATGAAAGGGATATGGCGACAACTGCCAAAATTGCAGATGCATTTCTCCTTTGACCCAACAACCCCATTTGTGGGGATCTACCATACAGATACACTTGCATACGCGCACAGGTTACTCATTTAAGCAAAAGATTGGCAACAATCCAAGTGTCCATCACTAGGGAACTGGTGAAATGAACTATGGTACAGCCACATAATGGAACACTATGCGGCTCTACAAAGAGAATGAGGAAGATCACTAGGTACGGATATGGTAAGAACCCCGAGATAGATAGTTAAAATTTTAACAGTAAGGTGCTTGGTATAGAGTGCTAGCATTGTGTAAGAAATGTGGGACCGGCCAGGCATGGCTCAGCGCTTGAGCATCGACTGAGGATCCAGGCGATCCGGGTTTGATTCCCGGTCAGGGCACATGCCCGGGTTGCAGGCTAGGCAGCCGATCAATGACTTTCTCATCATTGATGTTTCTCTCTCTCTCTCCCCCTCCTTTCCTCTCTCTGAAATCAATAAAGATATGCTAAAAAAAAAAATTAAAAAAAAATTTGTGCATTTTGGCCCTGGCCGGCGTGGCTCAGTTGGTTGGTGCATTGTCCCAAGCACCAAAGGGTTGAGAGTTCGATTTCTGGTCAGGGCACATACCCAGGTTGTGGGTTCAATCCCCAGTTGGGGTGAGTATGGGAGGCACCGGATCGATGTTTCTCTCTCACATAGATGTTTCTCTCTCTCCCTCTCACTCTCCCTTCCTCTCTCTCTCAAATTAGTTTTAAAAAAAGATTTGTGTGTTTTGTTGTCTGGAAATTTTACACACAGAACTAAATGAATGTGGAACTCAACAATATGTATTCTAAAATATTTAGGAGGGCATGTATTGACATATATAAATTACTCTGAAATGCTTCCACATATAAGATGGGTTGAGGGCTGGATAGAAGGATAGGAAGATGGATAGACACGTGATATGACAAGTATGGTAAAATGTTCATGCTAGAATCTAGGTGGTGGGATGGATGCTCCCTGTAAAGTTCTTTCAACTTTACACTTAAAATTTTCATAACAAGGTNAAGATATGCTAAAAAAAAAAAAAAAAAAAAGAAATGTGGGAGAGTTGAAAAATCTGAAAACCAAGTGCCTACTTGGGGATGTCAATGAAAAAAGCCAGTCTGTGCATCAGAACCCCAGCGAGTTTCAGAATCTGTGGATACAAGTTTGGAGATGAGGAAACACACTAACAACGAGGGAGGAAATATGAAACTTAAAAGAGAGTAACTGATTTCAAGTTTGGGAAACGAGCAATTAGATTCCCACAGCAAGGTCACATCCCCTCTTCAGTTAGGGGATGCCCTGAAGGCTGAGCAGCTGCTTCAAGAGGAAAAAAGGCTTCAGGAGGGATTTCTCTAGGGAAAAACAAACAGGCCCGATGACTTAACTGCATGGAACAGAATACTTAGATGTTTTACAAATGTATTGGAGAATTGGGACAAAGCTGTGACAGGACCACAGAACTAAGTACATAAAAAACAAACAAAAGAACAAGATAGTAATCAACTCCAGGTTAAAATAAAAAGTTGTACCAGCAACTTTTATCCTACTGGGTTTGGCAGTGAATAATACTTACATAGTAACAAAAAGGTAAACATTAAATATATATTTTTAAACACCTGAGTGCTATGATTATATTGAGGCAATGCAGGAAGGAACAATGGAAGTGCTGGTTTGGTGAGGGGTACTAAACCCCCATCTTCTAGAACAGAAAGTCAATAGAAAATTGCTAATATCAGCATAGCAAGCAACAGTGGCATAGCATTACAGTGGTTCTCAAAGTGTAGTTCGCTTTCTGTGAAGACAAAACTATTTTCATGTAATACTTAGAATATTATTTGCCTTTTCACATGTTGACATTTACACTGATGGTGCAAAAACCACAGTGGGTAAAATAGCTGGTGCTTTAGCAGCACAAATTAAGGTACTGTTAAAATCGACTTATGATCATTGTGTTCTTTACCACCACACTCACAGTTTAAAAAAAAACACAGTTTTATTTAAAAATATCCTTGATGAAGCAAAAACATCATTACTTTTATTAACTCTCAACCTTGAGTCCATGTCTTTTTAACAGTCTGGGTAGTGAAATGGGAAGTAGCACAAAGCATTTCTACTGTGTGATTTTCTTTAGTTGAACTAGGCACTGAAGAGCAACTGACAAATTATGGTGATCCTGACCTGGGTATTCAGCAGTCATTTTCTCAAAAGTGAACTAAATAAGGCTGTCATTTCAAGTAAAAATAGCTGATAACATTTATTGCCAATGAAAAAATTCAAGCTTTCAAGGAAAAATAAGAGATCTGGAAAACCTGGAACCCCCTTTAAGTTTAGGGCTTCCCAATACTTAAAGACTTTTTGATGAAATCAATGGTGATATTAACAAGTGTGATTTTAAAAGCTGCCTTATAATAAAATGTGTCAACATTTGGAAGACCTGCATTATTCATTTTTCCAAATAACCAATAGGTGATGTTTTTCAGTTTTAATTTCTAATATGATAATTACAGATATAACCCACATAAATAAAACCTCTCTCTTCTAGGTCTCAAAAACTTTTAAGACTATAAAGGGTTCCTGAGAACAAAAAGTTTGAGAACCACCGGCATATTATTTAGAAATCTAGAGGTAAATAAATAGAAACCCTCAAAAAAGAGTTGAAAGTGGCCTGTTCTTTAATATTTGACTTTTAATGCAATGTATCTGCATTGATTTGATAAAGCAAATATAAATATTTCAAAACCAATAAATAAGTACCTTCATTTCTCTTCCTTGCCAAAATGAGAGTAGAAACATCTACATACAATTGAGCAGTCAGAAGATGATAAGTAGAATTATTCAAATGTCCAAACTCCCTGTCACAAGCGTTTTTTTCCTTACTCAGATGGCCAGGATGGCTTCAGCCAATCCCCAAGGTCAGTAACCATCACTCTGACTTTAGCACCATGACCCACTCAGAAATAATGCACCGGTCAGGCTGCCTTCTGAGAAGGTATTAAAATTGACCCGGCTCCCTTGAAGACTTTTGAGGGTAGGAGGAAAACACACTCTCTTCAAACATCTATCCATGTTAGGGAATGCTTTCATAGAAATGCCCTGGCCCAGTTACAGGTTTTAGGATGCCAAATCCTCATGACAGTTACAGAATAGCAGTGATTCATGGCTCAGCAGAAATGAGTCAGTGACCTGGGGAAACAGGGCAGGCCCAGATGATAAAGCAGAGCCCACCTTTAATGCCCTAAGGCTAGCTCACCAGATCTGCTGACTTGGCTAGCTACAAGCCTGGGAATGAAGACACAGAAGAGACACAATTTTCAGATTTAATTGGACTTTTGGGTTGCATATCACTATTCTGCTGTTGGGTTACTCTTTTCTCTCAACTATGGCTTGGATAAATATTATGACTCATTGCTTTAGCACATTAATAACTTCTAAACATAATTTTAATGTGCTATTCTGACTCACCAGTAATAATGCTCATTAAAAGAATGATTACTCAGAGCCTTTCTTTAGTCCAGCTCCAGCCCTTCCAGTGTCCCTGTTCCACCTCTTACTGTTCCCTCTCCTAATACCATGTTCACTTCCATCACAGAACCTGTATATCACTTCTAATTATATATTTATTTTATATACATCTCTCTCTCCCTTACTGGAAAATAAATACCACAGGGCAGAGATTATCACGTTTGTTTTGCTGAACACTTGTTTATCTGGATCCTAGCCAGATGAGGCACATCCTAGCTGCCCCCAAAAATGTTTGTTGTATACATGTTAAATGAATGAATTTAAATTAGGATTATTATAGCCTAAGATCCGTTTCCTTTTCATTTTTCAAGAAGGCTTGGGATCTAGAAAAGATCTTTCCTTGGT